CATGTGTTGTGCTTGTTAATAGTTTTGTGATGGTTTTAGTTCTGAACTCGAGGACCGATTGGTAGAGTTCATTCCATCGTGAATTGGGTTTGCATGGTAAGCTTGGTCCGAAAGGGAACTTTGGTTCTCATCTATTACTTGTATGATCGCAATGATGTACTTGTAATGGTTCAGCGATGACGAGTCTCCTCACAACTCTGTATTTGTTACTCTACACCACCTAGGACCAATAAGGTGGAGAATGTTGGAGGTATTGGTCCTACCAAGGCCTCCCTTCCACTTATTATGTTAAAGCCTGCACCCTATGTTTAGTCCCTCTCCTTTATCTCACCGTGAATTTACTGCCAGTCTAATTATTTTGAGAGTTCCTCCTAAATAATTCAGCCAACACCCTTTGACTTATTATTTGTCTACTGCCAAAATATTGGGCTCCCCTTTCCTTTGTCCATGTATCCGTGACTTCAATTATAGGGGCTGCCTATAATAACCTTTGAGCTTCTTCTTTGAGAGTAAGGAGTGAATACACCTTCCTTTCCTCTTGGTGAGTGAGAGTGTGAGTGAGCAGTGAGGTGTGTGTGGAGCGTAGAGAGATACTTCACCTAAACCAGTCTTCTTCCTCCTTGAGTTTCTTTTGTGTGAGAACTGGATAGTGAGTAGAAGTGAGTAGAAGTGAGGTGTTGGCGAGGCTAGAAAGGTGTGTTGTTCCCTTAGCCTAGGTGTGCACATGAGACAACCGGAAAACCGAAGTTCGGACTACCTGAGCCGGAATCCGGTGACGGAATAGATCCTCAACATCTATTTTAGGAAAATAAATAACATATTGCTATTTGTGCATTTAAGGATTACTTCAGTCCTATTTAGGACTATCAGTATTTTCTAAAAAATTAATACTCCATAGATGATAAGAAGATAATGGTCCAATATCACCTATTACCTATATGATAAAAAAACAACAACCCAAAGATAATAGATCGATCGATACAGACTACTGAATTAAACAAGATTGTTGATCCACTTATTACTTTCGGCGGTTGGAAATAAGCCGAAACCTCGAAAAGCCAAAAAATAATACATACCGCATCATCCAGAATGAAATTGACTCCAGGAAATTACAAGTTGAAAACTACCTTCATTGGGTGTTTGGAATTAATTCTACTTTTGTTACAAGAAGTAGTAGAATCAAATCAATTTTCAGAAGCCGGTTTCCCCAACTTCTAAAAATTGCTTCTAGAAGCATTTTGGAATCCTTAGAAGTACTTTTGCATTTTCACCCAAACACTCCAATATATGTTTCTGCTATCTGAAGGAGTAGAAACAGTTTTAAGAAGCAGATCCAAATGCCCCCATATATATATCAAAAACTCCAATTGTAAATGATTAGTACGATTGAAAAATAAAACGAAACTTCCGTTTAAAACTAAATCGTTTCATTTAACCATTAACTACTGATTCAATATGTGAATATATTAGGAACGAATTGCATAAATGCAAAATCGTATTACCCTTATTCCATTTAATCGGCATGTTATATTGACTCCAAACAATTCCATATGAAAGAAACTGTGAAGCCAATTGTAGGTATAAATCCATCAAGTCTTTAATCTTCATATTGGATTATACGAAGTATTGAGAAATAACTGAGTGGAAGCATATCCGACTCCATCAGAGACAATCTTTCAAATACAAGCAACATAGGCTATGGTTTGTGTCTTCTAATTGATACACACCGTCAGAAATTATTTCTTTAGCGATGAGATGCAGAAAGATGGAATGATGTGTTCAACTTGGGATCATAACCCCTTCATTTATATAGAATGCTTAATTATAATCAGTCCATCATTAATTAGGTGAGAAATAATCAAATAAAGTCATCTTTTTTTTAACCCAGTAAAGAGTCATCTAAATCGGTGGAGTAAATGATGGGGAACATTTACCGGGTTTTATTAAGACTTTTTCGCCAAAGTGGTGTACATCACTAATGCTCAAAAAGGAAAGAAGAGCCATATCTGAATCCGTTGGATAGATCTTAGCTAGATAATGAGTGGACCAGTTAGCTTCCTGATAGATGTGTCTGAAAACAACATTTCCTCTCCTGCTGTCCACACGGATTCCATCTAATATATTTCTCCACCTTCCTTCAAAAAAAAAATTCTTGGATGAGAGATAAAACTCACTGAGAATCAATTTCAACCTCAAAACAGAAATAGCCCATCTCACGGCATCTAGAGGTGAATCAACAAGGATCCTGAAGCTGATGGCAAAAATCATCTCACCCTGAGCATCTCTCAACAGCGCCCCACCTGAAGAGAAACCAAGTATATGTGCAGCATCAATATTTAGCTTAATAGTTTGGGGCCTCATCCATTTTATCAATTTTATTCTTCTCTGTTGTTTCCTGAAGCACGGATCAAGTAGCTCTTCTTCTCAAAGCAACTCAAATCCCTGATTGTTCTTCATTGTTTTGAGAGTATTTGACCAGTACTGTGTATAGTGTTTTATTTGGAAAATCAAATTGTTAACTGCAAGTACCGTTCGTCTCGTCCCCCAAATCAGTTCATCCTAAATCTTCCAAATATGCCAGAGGCTAATACCAGGCATATTGTGTTTGAAAACATCAAGAAGGGAGCTACTGCCGCCTCAAGCCACCAGGTAATCAACAATTGTCGTATTGAGTCTCCCCTTACCATGTTTATATCAAATATATGGCTGAAATATTTCCAAACTCCATGTATCTTTGGACATTCATAAAAAAACATGATAAATCTCTTCATTGTTCTGTTGCACATGGGACACATCGTTACAAATATTATGAAAACTTCACATGAAAAGATGTACTCTATAAAATGTCAAATGAATATGTCTATTTATAAAAAACAATCGGACGAGGTCTACTTAGGGGTGGAAGTAGGCCATACGGCCTGCTAGGGGCCTATGGCCTGACCCGTTAAAAGCCTGGCTTGACCTGTTTAGTAATCAAATTAGACTTGAGCTTTTCAAAAAGTCTGTTTATCTAAATAGGTCAAGCCTAGCCCTACTCTGATCTCAAGCCGGCCTATTTATATGTGTACATATGTGTGTATATATTTAGTTATATTTATATTTATATTTATTTATATTATTTACATTTATATTTATATTGGTATACTTAACTATAACAAATTCGGCATAATAGTATTTTTATGGAGTGTGTATTATAAATTAGAATAGAATACTATTTTAAATATATATAAACTGTGTTAATAGTTTATTAAGGTAATTGAAATTCAAAGTTTTTCAAGATTTGAATTATATAGAAATTTATTTTCACTACATAATAATGTATTATTAGACATCCAAAGAAAAACTAACGTATTATTAGATTTTTTAGTGAATATTTTGGGAAATAATTTTATACCGGGTTAAAATGATTTTTCACTTTTTATTTTTTATTTTTTTGAAATTTTGTTTTTTTCTTAGCAGGCCCAGTACTACATAATAATGTATTACTCCGTATTAGACATCCAAAGCAAAACTAACAAGTTATTAGATTTTTTTAGTGAATATTTTGGGAAATAAATTTTATACCGGGTTAAAATGATTTTTCACTTTTTATTTTTTATTTTTTTGAAATTTTATTTTTTTCTTAGCAGGCCCAGTAAACAGGCTTCAGGCCGGGCAAGACTTTTAAATAGGTCAGGCTCAGGCTGAAAAACCAGGCCTTTAACAGGCAACAGGCCAGACTCAGGCCTATACATTCTAAAACAGGCCCGACGTGTTTAGGCGAAAGCCTGGCCTGTTTCCACCACTAGGCCTACCAGCCGATTGTCAACCTCATAATCCCGATTTTAGCGTATTTTGGCTATTTTAAAATAGATCATAAGGCTGATGTGGAATATTTAGCTAAGATTGGCTGAAATACAAGGCAAAATAATGACACCTAAGCTAAAATCGGGTTGTCTACAACTCTACGAGTGGTTAGGACTCATCTGATTAGTTCTTATAAGTAGACGTCTTTATATGACACTTTATTGAACACATGACCTTATGTCATGATTTTGTAATAGTAGAAGATCTTATTTGACCATTTTCTCTTAATTAGGATTAAGTCCTTTAGTTTCTACACATTTGAGTCATATACTCTATAAGATAACATATTAGCCCATTAAAATTAATATCCATAAGACCACTAACATTTTTTGGAACTAAACATAAGATTGCATAAAACATACAATTAACCCAAAATTTTACATTAAGAAATCTAAATAAATCATAAACATATATCATTTTCCATTTGCATTTCCTAAAATAAAACTAAATACGTAGTATATGACAATAAATTTTCATAGCAACTATGTTCCTTTCCCTAGCATTTTTAGGGACATAACATATATCCTAAAGATTTCAATTAGAGGTCTAAGAAAAGTATTCCCAATGAGAAGACACTAATGCTTTTTCGAAGTGTTTTGTCAAATAACGAAGTGTTTGAGCGTTTTATTCAAAAAAAAAAAACACGAAGTGTTTGAGCATCTTTTAATACTCTTCTATACCATAGATCTAGGTTTAAATTTCTTTCATATATATATATATATATATATATATATATATATATATATATATATATATATATATATATATATATAGTGCTCTTCATGTCAGGCCGGCGTGACGGGCTGCCCCGTCCGGCCGAGCCCGTTTGGGCACCTTCCCGGTGGATTTTTTTGATGAAATGTTTTGAGCATGTTCCTCATCAAGTCTAGTTTGTCCATACCAAATTTCAGCTCAAAATTCGATCGGGAAGGTCGTCAAATGATTTTTGCAAGTTAACTGGTCCGGAATATGTGTATTCCGGACCAGTTAACTTGCAAAAATCATTTGACGACCTTCCCGATCGAATTTTGAGCTGAAATTTGGTATGGACAAACTAGACTTGATGAGGAACATGCTCAAAAAATTTCATCAAAAAATTCCACCGGGAAGGTGCCCAAACGGGCTCGGCTGGACGGGGCAGCCCGTCAGGCCGGCCTGACATGAAGTTTTCTCTCTATATATATGTCATACCATCACACATGCACCTTGAAAATTACTTTCACACATGTACAAAATGTTGTACACGATCACAATCACATTCAATCAAATGCACTTATAAACACTAAAACAAGTTCACCACCAATCAACACTAAATGTTTACTAATCATGCACCATACGTCCATACGGCATCTTCCAACACATCACTATCTTAACACCAACACAATCACATTCAACCAAATGTACTTATTAAATGTTAAAACACGAGATTCCATCCTCCAAATGCACTTATTAAATGTTAAAACACGAGATTCCATCCTAAAAGGTCAACCTGATAGGAGGAGTAGCTCATATGTTAATATAACATTTAGTTCATCCAAACTTTTCCGGTGTGGGACATTTAACATTAAACAATTAAAATACTTCATCAGCTATCCTATATGTTTTCTAAACATGCACCCTACCTCATATTTGTGAATACGTACTAAAGAGTGCATAACCAATTGCATCCATATTTCATGATTTTGCATTACACCGCACATTTGAAACACAGACACATTCACACGCAACCAAATGGAGTTACTGAACTACTGACAACATTCATCACCAATCTGCACTACATGTTCACATTTTAAAGCTTAGGAAAAATTCACACGAATAATCCGAACTATTAGCGGTCTTCCAATATTAATCTCATTTATCGGTTATTCTACAATAATCTGTAGTTAACATGGAATCTTCTCAAATTGATCCCTGTTACCCACTACCCACTAAACCGGTAAACAAAATAGGAAAGGGAAAAGAAATCCTCTATATACTCCGTAAGAAACTAAAAAGGAACACTGGCATGTATCAACTTTTCTTCCCCAAAAACAGTTTGTTCCAAGCTAAGCCTTCATCTTCAAATTTTGGATGATGGACGATCCAAGAACTTTATGTCCTGACAGATCGGGTAACGAGGCGGATGGCATGAGACGATTCAACTGAATATCGCTCGGTTGGGCCAACTTCTTTATTATGTCACTGGAATCACTTCGACACCTCAATTGCACCATAACAATTTGTTTTCAGGAATTTCACGATAAGAAAATGGAAGGAGTTGAGCGACGGACATGGTGACACAGGCTTGGCTAATCAATTTCTCAAGACGTTTTATCGATGCTCCTTTCTCCATAATTTCTCCACAAATTCCACAGAACAAGGGGAAGGAGGCTCGTGGATGAGATCGTACATAAATTCGAAATTAAGAAGAAGAGAATGGGGAAGGAATCGATAAAATGTGGGAAAATTAAGAAGAGGAGGAGGGAAAACAGAGGATATCACAAGATGAGAAGCAGAGAAGAGAACGAAGAACCGAGAAGCCAAGAAAAGAAAGAAAAAAAGAAAAGAAAATTAAAAGAAATGAAGAAAGAAAAAAAAGTTAGGCCTTATTTTACCAATATTACTCCTACTAGACCGTTTCCCAACAAAGTGAGCAGACTTGAAAAATTCCAGAAATAAGAGTTTCTATCAGTTACGATGTACCGAAAATGCAGGCTTAAATTATAAATCCTGATAGGCACTTTTAATGAAAGAATTTCGTTGATAATCAATTACCATATATCGGTAACTGACATGCTAAAATTTAGGAAGACAGTATACGTGAGTTGAGACTAACGCGTACACATTTCTTGACCTGATATTCCACCCGATTCAAACAGTCCACGATCGACCAGAAAGGAAAAGAGAAGCTCTGCAATTTTTTCCATGCAACTCGGCACCTGAAGGTATTACCGTTTTTTTTCATGGATTACGCCACTAAGATCTCAATTCTATTAGTGACTACGCAAATTTGGGAGGGTTTGTTTTTTGTGAAAACAGGTGAAATCTGGGATATTGAGGTTTTAGGCTTTAAGAAATTCTGCAGTGACATGTGATTCACAGTACACATGATTAGTAGTGGGGAAAAATGTTCCCAATAGTAAAGAATTATTTATCAGCGTTATTAGGCATGGGTAGGATTAATTTGTTAAGCATACATGAAGGCAATAGTTACATTAGAAAACCAAACTGAGAATGAATGATTTGGCTGAATGAGGATGTGTATGGTCACGCCAGTTAGTTCAACATTAGCTAATAGTAAACAATTGTTGATCACCATGATTAGGGATGAATGATTTGGCTCAATGATGAAGGCTATAGTTACGTGTTATGGACAGTATACAACATTAGTAGTAGGAAAAATAATTAAAAATAGCAATAGTAAACAATTGTTGATCACCATGATTAGGGATGAGTTGGCTTAAAAAGGTGCCCAATTATTAAGGCAAAAGTGACGTTAAAAAATCAAACTAGTATGAATGACTAGTCTCAATGGTGATGTGTATGTTAATGGTAGATATACCAACAGTAAGTAACTAAAAAGTAGCAGTTCTTGAGAATAAGAACTAGAAACGTTAAAGTTGTTTAAAACAAGTAATTGATCAGAGGAGTAGATATAACAATTATAGGCTGCGTAGTTAACACAAAAGATAAAATGATGTTTGGGTGACTGTTAAATTATAACAACGGATTTGATGACTTTGTAATGTAATTAACGGCTGCAGGTTACAAACAAAATGGAGAAGTTGTTGGTAACTTTGTTATTTGATGGGAGGTGGAATGCTGAAAATAGGTTTGTTGCTAAGTCAAGTAGCGGATTACTTGTTGAAGAGAACGCATCATTCCCATCTCTTTTACACGGAATTAGGACAGTGTTGGGTATAAGTCAGAATGTTGAAATCACATGTCTGTCATACCAAATAGACAAAGCATTTCCGCCTACTATTATTGGCTGTGAAGAAAGTTTACAATTTTACATGTGTCTGAAAAAGAGGGAAATAAATGATGTTAGTTCATACCCAATGTGTGTTCAAAGTAGAAAGAGTCGGGATCTAAGTGACTTGCAGAAAGTTGGAAGAGGTGAAGGAGTAGGAGTGAACAATAATGAGTCGTTTGATTTGAATGTAGCGGGTCTTGATATCCAAAGAGGTACTAGTACTGAAGTTGTTGATATGTGTAACAGTGAACACCTTGTTCATGGTACTAGTGACCACAGGAATGCATTCCAAGTGATGGAGAGCCGAAATTTGTCCATAATTGATGCATGTAATTACGATGCAATAGGTGAGGGGCAAACACCATTGATATCGTGGATTCAAGATGGTGGTAATAGGAATATAGATGGAATGGATACAACACTAAGAATCAACGGGATGTATCCTAGTAAAGAATATTTGAAGGAAACGTTGCAACTGTATGCAATTCATAACAAATTCCAATTTAAAACAAAAACATCACACCCGGGAGTTATTCATTATGTGTGTGTTGGTGAGCGCTGCAAATGGGCTGTGCGTGGCGTGCGGATAAGTGATACAGATTGCTTTGAGGTTAAAAGGTATGAAATTGTTTAGTAATTATGTATGTACTTTATGTTTAAATATATACAGATTATGAATTTTTTAGTTACATGTGTCTGTGATGTTGACAATAATGAATCATGTATATAGGTTTGACTCCGTGCACAGTTGCTCCATTGATTCCAGACTTGGTGGAAATAAACAAGCAACTGCAGCAATAGTTGGAAAATTAATTAAACACCAATACATGGATGCATCCAGAAAACCCTATCCCCCAAAAGCAATTATTGCTGATTTGAATAGAGAGTTGGGATTACATGTTAATTACAAAAAAGCGTGGAGGGCGAAGGAGAAAGCTTTGACATCCCTTACCGGGACTGACTTTGAGTCATAACAAAAGTTACCACTTTTGTGTTACATGATTGATAAAACTAATCCAGATTCATTGATAACGCTGGACACCGATGCAGAAGGTAATTTTGAATATATGTTTATATCACTTGGTGCTTCTAGAAAGGGTTGGCCAGCATGCCGACCTGTCATTAGTGTTGATGGAGCTCATTTGAAAGGAAAATTCCGAGGAACAATATTGTCTGCTTGTGCACTAGATGCCAATAGACAAATATTCCCAATTGCATTTGGTTTTTGTGGAAGAGAAAATAAAGAGACATGGTCATGGTTTTTTAGGAAATTAAAAGAGGCAATTGGTGAGAGGGAGGATATGTGTTTTGTTTCGGACAGGAATGAGGGTTTAATAAGTGCAGCAAAGGAAATATATCCAAGAGTGAATCATGGTCATTGCGTGCAACATATCCTTGGAAATATTATAGCAAAGTTTGGTGGAAAAAAAAGATAGAGTGACCTGTTTTTTTTTATGCTCCCGTGCGAGCCCCAACTGAACACATGTGGCAATATTATATGAGATTACTTGATGCGGAGGATCCTCGAATACGTAATTACTTGGCTGAAATTGGGGAAGGGAAATGGGCAAGATGGAGAATTGAAAGACGAAGGTATTCGATAGTTACCTCTAATAATGCGGAGACATTAAACTCTGTTGATGGAACAGCTCGGAAGTACCCTATTGCAATGTTGGTTGAGTTTCTTAGGACTAAATTGCAAGCATGGTTTCAGGCTAGAGGCGAAGAAGCTAACGGTCATCAATCGAAGTTGTCACCGGCAGCAGAGTTAGTGCTAGTGAACCTCCTTCATGACTCATCCGGAATGATTGTAAGTATGTAAATTGTTTAATTTCAGTTATTAGTATAGAAAAATAATGACTAATATTTTAAGAGCTCATGAGAAAGTAGTAAAATATGACTGGATGATGTTAACACTGCGTTTGATAATAATAGTGGCCATATTCTGTAAAGAGTTGTTCACAAGTAATTTATTTTTACTATTACTTCAGGTTCGACCCAGCAGTGCATTTGCATTTGAGGTGATTAATAAAAATTGTAGAGCATATGCCGTTGATCTTGTGGAACGCAAATGTAGTTGCAGAGAGTTTCAACTAGAAGACTTTGTCTGTGTGCACGCGGTAGCAGCTATACGTAATCGGAATGGGCTGTCTTGTTACGACTACGTTTCAAGTTACTATAGTAGCGAGTCATGGGTAGAAGCATATAAGGGTTCTGTCCCGCCCTTAGGTTCATATTCTCTTTATGATGCTCCAGTGGGAATTAGAAATTGGGTGGTTAAACCACCAATATCAGATAAACGTCCAGCGGGGAGGCCGAAAAAGAAAAGGATACCCTCAACAGGGGAATTTCTGAAGAAGCAAAAATGTGGAAGGTGTAAGGAGCAAGGTCATAACCAAAAGACATGCAACAACCCAATACCGAGGCATCATTTAACATTTTACCCTTTTTTTTGCTTTGAGTGACCAAAATTTTGGAGATAAATAATGTTAGCAATAGTAGTGATACAGTTGTTCTGGAAACAAATTTTTATGTGTTAGTGAAAATGAATAAATTATTTTGTCCATTTTTGAGTGCGCATTGATGACCACCAATTCAGTAATTACTTGTAATAAGGAAGTCCCAGTAAGTTGCTTTTATTTTGTATGTATTCGTGAAATTGGCTTTGTATGTGTGTTGTGTTTTTAAAACATCAGTATTTAATTTTTTGTTTCAAATTTCAGTGACCAAGATGAAATTTGGTGAGATCTAGCACATAAGAGATTTAGAGTAGTTAGTAGTAGTTGGTCTGTAGTGACACAAATGTGTTGGGTAAGTTTCATTGACCAATATGTAATTCTGTGGTGAACTGGTAGGTCTGAGATGGCACACTTTGTAGATGGTATTGTTAGTGACCTTGTTGATGATTTATTTTTCAATGACCAATGCGTAATTTTGTTTAACATGTAGTGTAGTGATGGCGTAGCTAGTTGATGTTTTTTTAGTGACTAGGGTCAGAATGTTTTTTAGTCACTAAGATAAGGTGTTATTCTCAGTGACTAACAATTGGCCGAATTAATTAGTGAGCACGCAGTAAGTAAACTAGTAAAGGGTTGTTTCAGTGACTAAGATGATATTTTATACTTAGAAGGTTTTTAGGGTTGTTAAAGTGACTAAGATGATGTTTTATACTTAGTGACTAACATGTAACTTATTTAGGGTGCACATTAATTAAAAGGTTTTTAAAGTGACTAAAATGATGTTTTATACTTAGTGACTAACATGTAACTTATTCACAAAAGTACTTAGGGTGCACAGTAATGAGAAGGTTTTTTAAGTGACTAAGATGGTGTTTTGAACTTAATTAGAGACATAGCTTGCATGCGGTGTGTAGTGACAGCGTAGATTTTTATGCAGTGCCTTTAAAAGCAATTAGAACATGAAGAAGTCAAGAAGTTAGTGAATATTGAGCCGTTTATTTCTAGGCCTGTGTTGGTTTCGTCACATTTATGGTGGGGGTGGGTGGGTGGGGGATTGAGTGACAAGGATTTCTGATTAGTGACGAAGTAGATTTTTCATTTTCGTCAAGGATAAAAGTTGCATAGTGAATTCAGTAGCAAATGTTATCATATTAACCATGGGTAAGTGGTATGAGTTGTTGTAAGTAGTGACAATTTATTAAGTGTAGCAGTGTAGATTTTTTTTAATATCATTATAGCTTTTGTGCATATAGTTAGTCAGTGTAACTGGTATGATTCATTACAAGTAGTGAAAGTGTGGTAACATGTTTAGTACAAGTGAAGTGTGTGCGCTTTAATTTGCTGGTAGTATTTTCGTGAAGAAAGTACTAATATTTAAATGACCAGCCCGGTAATCATTTAAAGAAACAATAAAATTGTACCAAAAAGTCAATCATATATAATGCAAAAGTATGTCTGATAATAATTGAACGAATCCATTACAAATACATAAACATTATTGATGTCCATAAAACGCAAAAAAGTCATTAAGAAGTGTAGTTTTAAACGTCTTTGCAGCGACCTCGTTCTGAACCAAAAACGTAGAGATCATGAGCCCATTTTGCGCGATAATCAGGAATCTTCGCAGGAACCAAAGAAGTTATACTAATGCCCATTTGAAGTAATTCTGCCAGCTTGAGAACAAAAACACCACAGTCACCCCTGAAAGGAAAAAAAAACATGAGTACATGAAAGGGACAAGAGTAGATACAAGTATAGGTATGTAATTACCCGGTCAATTGTTGAGGGACACCGCGAACCATCTCAATATCAAAAGGGGTGCCAGCAAAAGGTAAACTCGGGTTGGATGTGGATTGCTTAAATGATAATAAAATTGGCAGGTAATTTGTAAGGCCACGCAGCTCGTCTAAAAGTTTTTTTTTTCGGGGCATATGTTCTGTTATTAGAATCATAGACACGCAAAAGCCTCGCACGAACATCCAACACTACTAACAACCAATGCATGTTAGGCAAATTTAGTGGGATGTAGACGTAGTCACATTCCAACCACGGTAGTAGATACTGAGTCGGATTACCATCTACGGTGTCATTGAAGAACCCATGATGTGCTGATTTTTCTGGTTGAGTGGCGCCTTTGGTGTATGCATCAAATAATGTGTTGAGATGGCTTGGAAACACAGTATCAGCAGTTGAGAACTTTTGGGGCCATTTCAAGGAGGCAGCTTTCATGCGGAGGTAAAACATTATAACAATCATATGCTACAAAAAATATCACAGAACTGTAACTACATTTTATATGGAGTTGTATAATATGAAACACATCACATAACAACAAAGTAATAAAATGTGTGGAGCTTACGGTTGAATCCAGCCACTGCCCTGATTGATATAGCTTATAGAGCCACGTCTTTGACTCTATCTCCTGACCCGGGTCTAGATCAAGATAAAAATTGCAGTCAATTTCCGGGGTATACTTCAAACCAGTTGTGTTGCCACGGTGACTTTTGACAATGCCTTGCATGATGGTTTTTTGGAACTTTACTCGCTCTGGAACTGACTTGAAGCCTGCAAAAGGATCAACACTGAAAGGAAGAGCATTGGTGAAATTATTGGTTTTTTTTACTCTTTTTGATAGCATCTGATCCAGGGGTATAACGGTGTGGTTGGACAGCTTTTCGTTTAGGCCTCTTCTCCAGATCATCAGTGATTTCAATCACCGCTTCTGCATGATTTTGTGTGCAAAATAGGACATAATTTGCGTAGATTTACAAGTAACTAAATTTCTTTGTGTTGCTTGTGATAGGAAAAGTCAGTAGTAATGTCAAAGTAACTAAATTACGTTTGTTATGTAACTGCGTTGTAGTGACAATATCGTATTAGAGGAAGTACATAAGCTAACAGGAATAGGCACCTGTGGATGAATTACAACATCAGTGACGACATTGGCAGGTTCAGAGGAGCTTTCAGGTTTTGAAAATACAACATGCTTAGCATTTATAGGAAAGTTAAAGTAGTAATATTTGTAAATAATAAGTAATTTAGTGAACAGGTAATGAATTACATAGAATGGATTAAACATTTAAAGTTTCAAATTCGTATAAAGGAATATGACACCGTTCAAGAAAATGAAATTACCTCGGAGTGTTGTCCCTCAATATCCACTGAATGAATTTGTTTTGGTTGGACAGAGATCGCTTTAGCAGATAATTGTGAAGGCTACATGTTGGGAAAAAAAATTGTATTTAGTGATAGAGTATAGTCAATTACATGTGGTTAACAAAGTATTAAACAATAAATGCAGAAGTACATACATTTGCCTCAAGAATTTCGTAAGCAAGATTAATGAATTGGGTCATCCCAGGATCATCGTTGGTATGACCGGCCAGAAGATGGTTGAACCAGAGGGGTAAGTGAAATGTCAAACCTTGGCGCGTCATCCACATATGAACCTTCTTTGGTCTGAGCGTTGACATGTGGTGCATTAGATTCATGACAAACTGGTGGTTCTGGAAAGGATAGAAGAGTAGAAGTGTTTGCTTTGGTGATAGATTGAACCAGTTCACTCAACTTGTTCATAACCTCTTCTTGATGCTTAAAATTTTCCTGGATAACGTATATTTCTGTCTGCAATGTGAACATCTGTTGTTCAAGGGCTGCTATTTTTTCATCCATTTGTGCGTGAGCAGTAAGACTAGAGCATGAGCCGTTTATGGGATGAAACGGATGGTTTGTTCACAGCAGAAGCTCGTTTGGAGACATCACTCTGAGATTGTCTTTTGGATTTCATTACCCTTTTCAGCAGAAGAGTAGATGATGATGGGTCCAGTGGAGTGTATAAGAACTGAAAAGGAGTTTTGCAATGAAAGTGCATTAAACATTAGAAAAATTTTCTGAAAAATAAAATAGATTTAAAAAGTCTAGAAATAACAACTATATTAGCATAACTTACATCTTTGTTGCAAAAGATATTGGTCTTGAGGGCATGACTGTGTGTTTTTTATGTTGAAGACCATTTTAAGCATAGTGGTGCTACGTTTGGGTCAACACAACATGCAAGTTCCATCTCTGTAAGGGCAGGGAAGCTCTCAAAAGCCCAAATTTGAAGTGCCAAGACACACCCATACACATTGTAGTGTGAAGCATTGGTTTGCAAACTACTTACACCAGCCCAAAAATAAGTACCCATGTTCTCCCAAATCACACGTCCCCATGGATAAGCATTGAACCTCTCAATATCATCTACAAGGTTAATGTGTATGTTGTTGACAGCAACCTTTTCTTCCGCGGCCAAAAACGAATGGGATAAAACATATAACAAGGACAGGCTGACAATATCATTATCACTTTCTTTACCCCTCTCGATAGCTTTAAAAACTTATTTTATATGCTTACGCTTAACTCTAGTTGTACAATCAGGAAAGTACTTTTGTCAAATCCGACCCCGCTGATTGACTAGATTCTGATCAGAAGGAATATTATCGGACACGTTCAACCCCCGAATAAGACCTAAGTCGGAACAAGTGAATGATATCAACCTATCCTCAATATCAAAATACAAATCGCCGCCTACCACAATATCACCACCTCCAATTTTAGCAAGGTTTCCAATAAGAAAATGCAAGAGCTGCTCGGAACATTTCATTTCTTTCGCATCTAAGAACTTCCCAAAAACTGTATTACTAAAAAGTTCTAATTGGTTAGGGAGTAGTTTTGACCGCACAAGATTTATGACCTCATACAATCTAGAAAAGGTGTTCACTCTCCTTGTAATGTCCTTATTGACGATCTGTTTCTTGACAACTCTATTAAGTTGCTGGGAAAATTAAACATAAAACAGGTGTTAGCTAGGTGAAAGAAAAAAAATTAATGTTTGTATCTCTATAAAGCAGAGTTAACTTACAACATTAGATGGAGAGGTGGGAGGGGTGGAGACGAAGTCACTGTCAGCGTTAGCTACAAGCAAAATAAATATGAAACTAATATTAATAAAAGTATCGTAATGACATTCAAACAAGGCTGCACTACAAGTCAATTAAAAACATGACAAACAAGGTACATTTGTAGTCATCAATGACCTGCTTAGGCTCACAAGGAGATAGTGTGTACCATTGAATAATATTTGTTTGTTAATGCAGAACAAAATGAGTGTAATCTTGATGCCTATCAGTTGGTATTGAAATTAACTATTCCAATTTGACACAAGAA